ACATGGATAAAAATATGATTCAACATTAGGGTTATATTTTACACAAAATTAGTTGTTGTCAGAATTTCATTATCATAACACTAGATAAATACAGATGAAATAGCATAGAAAAATAGAGCTTGATTTTCTCTATCATCCTATAGAAAAAGAAAATTTATTCAAGCCTTTTATAAGAAAATAAGATACCTCCGCCACTACTTTTGGGTACCCCTAAGTATATCCTTTAGCGGATTTTCATAAACGGTTTCTACGAAAGCATACATTAATCTACCCTCAACCGTAGAATAATATACCTTTTTAGGAATTATTATTTAGCAATATACTCTTCCACGTATTTGCATAAACGCTTTCAATAAAAGCATACATTAATCTACCCTCACTTGTATAATAATATACCCTAGTTTGGCATGACCTAATAATCTACTCATCAACGTATTATAATAAACCCTTATTCTGAAAGTGTAGAATAATCTACGGTTACCGATTACATCAGAAACCATTTCTCCTTAATCGTATACAAATATACCCCTGACCGCAAAATTATAAACCTTTCCATGACATTCGTAGATTATTCTATCCGTATCCGTTTAGTTATAAACCCTTTGAATAAAATATTGCATTATAAAACCCTTGAAACAGTTTTATATATCCTTTGAAAATCTAAATATTTTTTCGGTCAAAAATCGTTCGGATCATAAACTCTTGAAAGGTTTATGACAGTCGCATAAACCCTTCAAGGGTTTATAAAAATTAAAATTTAGGGCAAGCGTTTATTATTCGGCGCTTTGTTTTTACAGTGTAGAATTCATGTACCATGTAGAGTACATAGTACATGAATTCTAGAATTCTAGGTTTTTTTTGAGAGTACATGGGGGTCTATGTAGAGTACATCGTACTTAACACATAACGTATGTGCGTGTTAGGTTGTTGGCTGATAAAACTGAGTACAAGATGTACTCGTACTTGCGCAGCTATGTTTATGTTTGCGTCTGGATCCGTTTTTCTTATTTTTCCTGAACCCGTGAGCTAAGGATGATTATAAGAGTTGATAAACAAAATAGCACGAGTTCACATCCTTCTGACTCTGGTCGCCTCTTGAGTCATATATTCTGTGTGCTTTCAATATAAATAAGCAAAAATAAAGTCACAGAATAAAGGAGTAGTCAGGCATAAGGTCACTGTTGGAGAGTTTGAATGATTCGCCAAAAACTCTGCTAGTATTCTATCTTACGATGACGAAGTCGCAAATTGATGAATAAGTATCGATGGTTCACCTGCCTGTACTCCCAGTGATTCTGAAATCGAGAATTATCGAAAGCATTTCTCTACCTTTCAGATGTTTCTGTTCGAATGTCTACTTTGTGTCCTCATATTTGTCTGATAATAACTATTTGAAGAAACATTCTTGTTTATATCTTTCGCTAGGAAACTTGATTCAGATTGATCGATCGTTTTGTTTTTTTGGTAGAATGATTTGAGTTCTGTATCATTACTCTGAATCTCGTTTTATTTAGATTGTTTCTAATCAAATTTAGTACTTTAATTAGTCTACTATATATTACTAGATTAAATATCGACAAGCATACTTTTTTGTAGGTGAATTAAGATTTTTTGCATATTTGAAATGATTCATTATATAATGCACATGAATACGAAATCTCCCTCAGTTTGGTGGTACCTATTTTGAAAATATGTTCTCACAGTACACATGTTTTATATTTTGAGCAACAAGCTAACTTAACTTTTATTACTCTCGTTATGATTCATTTTGCTACCAATCCTATATTTATGGTTGATCTGTGAATACGACTGCAGTGAACGAAAAGAATCAGATAACTATTTGTCGGCATTATACAAATTACTTTTGTTCTCTGTAGCCTAGTATTTGAAATTCGATATTAACGTATTTATAAAAAAATTATTCCTGCAGATGTTCTATCTAGAGCTCAATCTAAAATGGTCTTAAAATTTCTAAAGTTGTAATATACGAAAAAAACAGTTTGGTGAACTGCATACAGTTATATATCTTTCTACGAGAAGGCGATCGATCGTTTGAGAGACTGTTTTCTGCAGAAAGGTATATTTCTATAGTTTTCTATCTAATGTTACATATTAATAAACTTTGTAGATTATTGGATTGGGTTAATGTACTATTGTTTCAGGATAAAAGGGATCATGAACAAAACCATATTCAAAGGTCAAGTGACATGTGAATTATTGATAATAACTATCGCTGTTCTTAATGTTTTCTTCCTCTTGCGATCGTATGATTTGCCTCAATACAATCTTCGCGATCATCATCGTCTTATTTATACTGATAATCACTTTCAAATCCATGAGCAACGCATTAACGAGATTTTCATTTTCCAGTCTAATCTATCGGTATATGCTGTGTGTAAATCACAAATATCAGAACCCTTAGAATGCAACAGACTTTCTAAAGGAAGAATTTTTATTGTTAAAAATCCCGAGAGAATTGGATGGATTCCTTTTGTATCAAACAATTGGGGAAACACATTATCATCTTATTGGCAAGCTCGAGGTGCAGCTTTTCTATTTGGAAGTCCATTTTCATTTAGTGGCTGGAATACTCCTACGTGGATTAGTTATCTTCCTGTGTCAGTGGCCTCTATAAATTCGAGCTCATGTGTCAAAGCTTACCCTGAATTATTCCGTCGTTTATGTAATAATTCTGGACCCTATTGTGACATGGAATATGCACATAAATGTGTCGGAGCATGGAATTATATTCGAAATCAAATACTACAAGAAACTAGATCAGCATTAGAACGTTGGGCTCGATTAAACTATGAAACAATACCCATTTTCAATCGTTCTGAGATGGTAACATACGACCGATGCTCAGAAGACACTATTCTTGATCATTCTGAATATGGACCTGTCGGTTTTAGTGTATTCAAATACATTCCAAAAACAGTGACAGTTTTATATTATGTGTACGACGCAAGGAGAACTACCTTCTTTTGTGATATTTTACGTAGAGAACAAACAAAATATCTAAAAAGTATACGTCCAGATATAATTATTATTAAGTCATCAGGTAGCATTTGGCAAGACTTTGCTAAACTCGTCTATGCTCCCTATGTGTTAGTTACTTATGCTGGATCATCATTTGCGCTGTGGGCCACTTTGGCAAATATTGGACATGTATGGATTCCGCCACTGTATGGTGGAATGACACCAGATGTTGGAAGCAACTATCATTGGATTAGTACACCAGTATTGTATCCTTCAATTGGAAAACAATTAAACGTGACAAAACCAGAAAATATAAGTGATGTTAACAAGCTTATCAAATGGCTGAGAAACATATGATTGTCATCTTCGAGATAGTTTCGTTAACTTTGATTTTGTCACTACACTTTTTTTAACTTCAAGTCTTCAGTATAATAGTTCGAACTCAATGAAAAAGTCTAATGTTTTCTTGAATACTAACTTATAATGATGAAAAATGACTAAGAGCAGTTGAAAATTTGAGGTAGAATCATTTTACCTTTTTATGAAAAGCAATGCTAAAGTTCCTGCGAAAAACGCATTTCCTTAACGCTTTTTCCTGTTGCTGCAAAATCCATGTTTTATAGTGTGTAAAACAGAGGATAAAACATATTAAAAATGAAGCAACTAATCATTGAACTCAAGCAATTGCAAGAACGATACTGTTTATTGTAGTGTAATTCAGATTTTATCACTATAACTATAGATTCACGTTAATACATGTTCAATATTGTCTTAAGACTAGTGAAATGTTCGATTGTTTCTCTCTATTTTTAAGTTTAGTCGATATTTAAGATGGAATAAGAAGAAGTAATCCATCAAAATGATCTTTCATTGCTAGCCAACTCCGATACATTTGGATGGATCTTAAAATTACTTAAGCTAGAATGAAATCCACTACTCAAGTTCTACATAATTTCTTTATGATATTTTAGTGCCAAGAATAAATAGAATGTTTTTGTCTAAGTCAAAATTAATTTATTGAGAGTAAATCAGGGTTTCTAAATTCAAATTTTGACAATCTGAAGATTTTTCTTTGAAATTCAAATGTGACTTATGATTTTGAGTTAAGAAAATTTCACTTTTCGTCCATTCACTCGACCTACTCTTCTTCTAGGTGAAAGTAATGGTAAAAGAATTTTCGTATTATTGAATTAAAATTATCGAAAGATGACCATTCATATAATGTCTATGTTTATCTGTTTCGAACGAGGTCGCCTATTTAAACGAGAGTCATAAGATATTGAATAAATGTAACGACAGTTCATTTTAATTTTGAATTGCTCTAACTAAATCTCCTGCTCATTATATTATGATTGTCATCTCATAAATATTTGATACATAAAAGAACTTATTAATGACGACAAATTGGATTTCTTTGTTGAATATTAAACCTATTGAATACTGAAATAGATTTCTAGTCTTTTCGAATCTTTTATCTTTGTATACCGGGTGTACCAAAATAATTGCAACATTTCTTATTTCGCATATATCTCCACTTCAAGTAAATGATAAAACCTTGATTTTCTTCCAAAGATGCACCGTCGAAAGCTTTACAAAAATGTGTATGAATAAATTCCTATTGATATGCCCTAGTGATTTACCAGATGATTGTTATCATTTCTCTTGATAACACTAGATCGTACTGTTTCATATATCCATCACTTTTCCCTTCTGGTCTTTTTTTGTTTCTTCTTTTTCTTCTTGTCTTCTTTGATGTCTAGCCATCGTCTTTACATATATCCAGAGAGGCGTGACTCGTTCTATTTATGTTCGTTTGTAATTGAATAGTTTCTTTTCCAAAAGAAACAAAACAAAGTTACGTTCAAATTTTTTTATAGTGGCAAAAAGTAAAGATCTACGTGATGTTGCTATTAATCATTATAACAACGGCAAAAAAGCACCGGAAATTGCAGTTTTATTAGCAAATAAGGTTTATCGTTCTACCATTCATCGATGGATATGCCAATATAATCGAACTGGTTTATTTAATGCAGAAAAATCAACAGGAAGAAAAAGAAGCGGACGAATCAAACAGTTAACTAATTTGGTTCAAAACCGACTTCAATCAAAAAACACAAGAAAAAGTTTACGAACAATATCGAAAGACTTCAACAGCAATCCATCAACAATCAAAAGAGTTCTCAATAAAGATTTCGGTAAAAAATGTTACCGTAGAATATGTGTACAAAAGCTCCAAGATCATCACCAAAAACTTCGTAAACATTGTTGTGCTTGAATTAGAAAAAAATTCAAACGTGAAGGGTGAGTGTGTGTTTAAAAGATAATTAATTCGAAGCCTCTTTACGACCGGTTTCGTCCTTGCTTAAGGGACTCGTCAGGTAAGTTTCGAATCAATATGATAACTACATTAAAAGACAAAATAATTTTTATCTCAATTCAAAGAGACATATAGCAGTTGAAGAATTCCGAAAAATCCCGGACTGCCAACATGTTTCTAAGATCGAGATATAATTTTTTGTAATAGTCGTAGTAATATTAATGGGTATGTTTAAAAGTTGAAATAGCAGATAGGAAGTTGTCGGTGAGGGTGTGGGTGGGTGTGGGTGCGGGTGTGGGTGGGGGTGTGGGTGTGGGTGTGGGTGGGGGTGTGGGTGGGGGTGTGGGTGGGGGTGTGGTTGTGGGTGTGGGTGTGGGTGTGGGTGTGGGTGTGGGTGTGGGTGTGGGGGTGGGTGTGGGTGTGGGTGTGGGTGTGGGTGTGGGTGTGGGTGTGGGTGT